ATTGAACGATTGTAGTTATACAGTGTCACCTACAAACGGGATAGCCAAACCATGCCATAGATGCCTTACGAGGAGTGTGGCTTTATAGCAGCTAATTAATGACGTTCGTATCATAAGAAATTTTCGAAAGTTTTCAACACAAGGAAAACAATTACAATGACACGAAAGTAACCCTATACAAAGTTAGTAATTCTACTCGAAGACCGAAAAGTCCACTCAATACTCATAACCAGAAAGATCTTACGAAGAAACTGTACATACATTTGCTGGTTGTATTGGTACGAAAAGTATAATATATCGACGTTGTTCTATGAGCGATAATAAAATAATATGTTATCTAAACATGCATCAAGAAATAAGCTTTTCTTTTGTTTATTTATATCTATAGGTGAAAGGATAGAGCATTAACCACATTTTTTTTATGATGCGTTTGTTTTACTTGCAACGCTCTGAAGCGCTAACAAATGAAGTAAGATATAAAAAGGAAAAAAGAAAAAACAAGAAGAAGAGAGAGCAATAAGATAAAAAGGAAAACACAAGGTCATAATGTTAAAAACATCACTATCAAAAAATGAATGTAAATAAACAGACAAACAACGCACAAAAACTGAGTGTTCATCTTAAAGCAACTATAGAAGAAGGAGGGAAAGAATATGCAGAAGAGTTTAAAAGAAAAAAAGAAAGTAAGTGTTTATGCCATAAGTTGTTGCCATCATTTATTTATTTATTTTCAGCAAATCTTAACCATATTCATAACAAGGTTTTATGTTCCTTTTTCGTCAATGAAATAATGCAACGCCTGAACTGCTACTCATGGACATCGATGGACTAATCTCGGACTGCTTTAAAATTTTGCCAAAGCAGTTCTTGTTGAATATGCGGGAGAAAGAGGAAAAGGTAGAAAAGTCAAGCAAAAAATGAGAATAAATATATGAAAAAGTATTGTTGCAATACACCAATGAAGATCACCATACTGCGTTTCAACCATTTCAATTTCATGTACGACTGTTGAACCTTTTCTAAACAACTTGCAACAGATTTGCGCATGAACAACTTATTAGTTCAAATATATGCGAGAAATTTAAAGTCATTCATACATTAGAATAGGATACCGTTTATTAATATTATTAGGAAGCATAGATCAATTGGTTTTTGAAATACTTGGCAGACTGATTTGGAGATGGTGATTCTTTGTTTTCACTTTCTAGCATATTCAAAAAGTTTATTGCACATTTTGATGTCTTCATGTTTCAGAAATTGTTACATGAGTTCTATTTTACTTATTGATGCTCGGATTAATCGGCAAATAACGGGTGAGACAGACTAAATGATCACGTTTTGCATTTTAATTTTCAATCGCTTAATATGTTGTATTAAAGAAAAAAAAACGAAATACACTACAAGATCCAGCATTAAAAGGTCTATAATTTACAAAAGACAATTGATTTTAAGTATGCATCTTCGTTTTTTCAAAATGAATAATTTTCTGCAAGATCAATTTTCAATTGTATCAACAAGATCATATTTTTTTGGTAAACGATCAATTTGCTTTTTTTATCTGGTCGAATAAAAACAATTCTATTCAGTAATAAAAATATTTTTCGTTAGAACAAATTTATGCTACAAAACGAATGAGGTGATATAAACCAAACGGTTAAGTGTTCAAAAAGAATTATGATGTGGTTAGATGCTTCTAAAAATGATCTTACGTCTCCAATTGTTTTTAAATCTCGTGAAACTTGAACATATATAGCAGACATATAGATATGTAAGTGGATATAGATCTAGTTGAGTAGTTTATCAGATGGGTTTGCAGATAAGTTAATAGGTATATCATGGAAACAACAAATCAAAAAAGCTCAGAAATAGAAAAAAATAATGACCTATGTAAATACATAAAAAGTTTGGACGATTCAAGATGTCAACCGCGGTTTCCAATTGTGAATTAGAAACGTTTACAAAAAATACGTACGAAAATGAATAAGAATCCGTAACGTATAAATCGTCAAAAACTTCAGCGAATGTAAGAAGTGATCGTTTTCATACGGCATTTTTCTGGATGTCTTTGAATGGCAATCAGGAACCGTAACGAGCATTCGAAAACGGTCGATATGTTTATAGTATTCGTGCAAGTCTTTTAAATTATTTTCTCTGTCTGGATATTTCGAATATGTTGTACAACTCTTCTTTAACTCATTGAAAATCGTGAGATAAATAATTTCAGAATATATTTTACTAATATAAGTTTTGTGGCGCCATCTATAATAAAAAATTTATATCAGAATTGAGGCTGATTTAGACTGTATGACTAGTACAAGTGGCTCAGACGCATCAACATTATTAGAGTATACCGAAATCAAATCAATTCTATCAGTTTAAACAGGCTTCACAAATATTCACTCGTTTCGATACAATGCATCATGATATACCACTTTCAAAAAAAGCCAGTAGTAAACCGCCAGTATAGGGCACATTATGCCGATCGGTATACCGACAGTTTTTGTCTGGTTCGAATTACATGGATGCAATTGATTGAAAATATCACTTAATGCGCAGTGTGCAGATTCAGTTCTTGGTAAATAGAAAAACAATGTAACAGAAAACGAACAGGTAATTACGCTTCAATTATTCATGTTTACTCAAAACATGTTTTTTTGTTTACGAAGTGATTTAGAAGCGTGGTTACTTTATTCATTGTATTATTTTTACCTTGTTTTTTTGTTTTCACAATGTTAAATAATAATATATAATATTCAATATTTATTTTTTATCATTTTTTAATCATATAACCTTCCACAACTTTCGTCATTTATATGAAAAACCAAGAACTTTAAATGGTTTTAAGAAAACTCTACCGTCAAACACATCAAATACACATTCGGCATACAAACTAATCTCAAGAGACGAATTCGTTTAACCCTGACATGCCGACCTCTATAAATGCTCAGATACTACCAGTCTAAGTCGGATGAAATTCAAATTCAATAGTAAGTGTTTAGCTTTTCAAGTCATATCACACTGAAGGAGAGTATCATATACTACCAATCTGGAAAGTTTTTATCCTTTCGATACGTACCCGTAAAACGAACAAAACATGTCTTCAGAGCTCTTATTTTGAGCTGGAGTCCGTACGGACCTCAGGTGGGCGTGTCAGGGTTAAACACTTCGACTCGCTTTAAAAACAAAAGAAAGAAATAATGAGTGATTGTTAAAAATAATAATATCTGTTCAGAAAAATACATGTTAAAATATCTTTTTTTAGCTGATCTTTTCGCGTTAACACGTATTTTAGCATTTGAACGCGATAAAACTCGTGAAACTCATGTTGAAAATGGATAAAACTGCGTATGAGTAGAGATTAGAACAAAGGACGCTATTTTCTTATTAATTTATTTTAGATCTAAATTCTTGCCAATTTTTAAAAATTTATTTCTGAATATAATAACTTTTTTTTCATGTAAATTGATCACCGCTAATTAGAACTACATCCACATCTTACATCCTTTCTGAAACAAATACAAAAGATCGACCGAGATAAAAATAAAAAAAAAGAAGCCTAAAATAACTAAACAAATTAATTATTAAAGATAATATACATTCTCTGATGATCCACCATTTGCTACTGGTCTTCCGCACTATGCACATATTTTAGTTGGAACAATTAAAGATACAGTTACTCTATGGCGCTCATCAAATAGGATATCATGTTGAACGTTGATTTGGTTAGAGTAAGATTCACTTTCTACTCCTAATTTTCATATAATAGATGTACTGTTTATTGTTGTTAAGTTCTCATGGTTTGCCAGTAGTATGATTTACAACTCCATGGACATTATCATCAAATATTGTACTTTGTAGACAGGTGAGTTAAATAAAAATCTATGTTTATTTTTGTTTCGAATATAAATTTGATTTTTTGCAGTTTCAAAGGATCTTATTTGAAAGAAATGCGTTATACACCATTATTTCCTTATTTTACTAACGTAAGATTTTTTTTTGTTTTCTAATAATGTCTTTCCTTTTAAATAAAATAGGTAAAAACAGCATTTCGTATATTATATGATGATTATGTAACAGAAGAGAATGGTAGAGGTGTTGTTCATCAAGCTTCTTTTTTTTTGGAGAAGATGATTATCGTATTTGTATTGCAAATGATACTATTAATAAAGATACAGGATCTGTTATTTATCCAATTGATACTCAATGTCGATTTATTGATGAAGTTAAAGTAGGAGTGAGAAGTTATTGTTATTCGGCTGTTATTAATGACAATAACAAATAATAATAACTTTTGTTTTTGTTATTGTTATTTGTTATTAATAACAAAAAAATAACAAATAACTTTTTTTCTGAAGAACCTTCAACTAGGGGTGGAAAGTTACCGTTATGTTACCAGTTACTCGGAAATAGAGGTAACAGTCAGGTAAGTGTCTCCCGTCATCAACCCCGTAGCCTAGGGCCCTCAAGTTTTACCATTGAGAGATATCCTTAGGTTCCCAAGTCCTACTATTCGGGGGTATCCTTAGGTCCTCAAGTCCTACTGTTGGGGTACCCTTGGGTCCTCAAGTCTTACTATTGGGGATACTCTTAGGTCCTCAAGTCCTACGACTAGGGGTACACTTAGTTTCTCAAGTCCTACTAATGGGGGTATCCTTAAATCTTCAAGTCGTCATATTGGGCACCCTTCGGTCCTCAAGTCCTACTGTTGGGAGACCCTTGGATCCTCATTTTCAACTATGGAAGTGCCCTTGGGTTCTGAAGTCCTACTATTGAGAGTACCATTGGGTTCTCAAGTACTACTAGAAAGAGGTAGCGTTAGACCCTAAACACCCACTATAGGAAGTAGGATGGATAATGTGTGCGGGTGTGGGTACGGGGATATGGCAGTGGGTATGTGGGTGTGGATGTAGATGTTGCCGGTGGAGGTGGCTGCTAGTTTTTTTACTGTAATAGCCACAGAACCATCCGGCTGCTGCAGTCACAGCCAAGCTCACGTTAAGCAATCAGCTTTCTGAGCCAAACAGATCAAATAAATTATGGTAATCGTAATTAAGAAAACCATGTTGCCTAATAATTAGTTTCTCGATACACCGGTCCCTACCATGAAAAATGAAGATGTGGAACTTTCCTTATTCGTAGCCGCCTACGAACTAACCTAGCAGTGAGTTCTCATGCACAGTTGCTAATGCAAAAAAAAGCTATCCAATAACACTGCTCTCAATCCAAAAATCTTGAAAAAAGTACGGCTACTTCATCCGGCAGGACCTTCCCAAATCCAAGTTCTTCTATAACAAAGCGCTTCAAAAAAAATTGGGAACGCAGAATGAAACAGGATTAAAGACTACCGAAACTTTATACGATAAGCAACGTGGATCTTCCCGTAATCCGAATTGTTCTTCATCACTACCGATGCTCACTCCCCGCCTCGGCATCGGCCATTATTATAGCCGTTCCAAGTTCACACGCAGCTCGTGGGCTACGGGAATAGCATTCACACAAGCAGTATATTTATCGAGTAACAAAAAATACCAGCCTTACCATTAATCACCAACGAATAAATACACTGTCACCAACAACCTAGTAATAGTTACGGCAATAGCAGACATTTGTTGCCCAAAACAACAGAACTACAGAACTCACAGATGTCCCTGTGAAAGCATCTAAGGATTCAAGGGTACCCACAATAGAAGGATTTGAGGATCTAAGAGTACCCCCAATAGTACGAGTTGAGGACCTAAGGGTACCACCAATAGTAGGACTTGAGGACCCAAGGATGCCCCCGAATAACAGGACTCGAGGACTTAAGGGTGTGGGTGAGAAGTTATTGTTATTCGGTTGTTATTAATAATAATAATCATAATTTTTTTTTGTTATTGTTATCAATAGCAATAACTATTTTTGTTATTTGTTATTAATAACAATAACTTATTTTTGTTATTGTTATTAATGACAATAACGTTTTTGTTATTTGTTATTAATAACAAAAAAATTACAAATAACTTTTCGTTGTGAAAAACCTTCAACTCGAATTGCTGTCTATCTCAACTATACTAATCCTATCGGTTTATGTTTAAGGAATGAATTTACTACGACTAGTAACATTAAAAAATTTCTATTGAACACAATAACATGATGCCAGCACGTCGTCGTGATTGTCAACGAGCTCAATGTGTTGCGTTGAGTAAAGTCAATATTAGTTGTCGTGAAATTAGCACTATCATTGGTATTTCGAAATCATCTGTTCAACGTGCTTTAAAACGATATGAAGAAACAGGTGAATTTCAAGATCGACCGCGTGCCGGTAGACCAAAAAAATTAAATGAACGAAATATCCGTATGTTAAAGCGCTTAGTATAAAAAGGTGAACGATATTCGGCAGGTGAAATAGCTATCAAGTTAAATGACACATTAAACAGTCCAGTTACTTCAAGAACAATTATTAATTATTTGCATCAATGTGGATATGAATATAAAACTAAAATAACAAAACCATTTTTTAATAAGAATGTTAAAAAAAATAGACTTAATTGGTGTTTGGATTATTCAAATTGGACTATTAATCAATGGAAAAATATAATATTTTGTGACGAAATATGTTTTTACGTAATAAAACGTAAAAATAAAATAAAAATATGGCGTACAAAAGATGAACGTTGGAAAGAAAGTTGTATGCATGTGGCAGCTGCAGGTGGTGGTGGTCGTGTAAATTTTTATGGTACTATCACTTCTGAAGGAACTGGTTGTTTTCGAATTTACAGTGAAAATACTAATAGTGATGTTTATTGTGATATTTTAGATAATTATTTAATTCCAATAGTCCAATTATATCAAATGGAAAATAATTATTTTTACCAACATGACAATTCCAAATATCATCTATCGAAACAAACTCAAATGAAATTTCATGAATTAGGTGTTAAAGTATTAAAATGGCCCAGTAAAAGTCTGGATCTCAATCCTATTGAATCATTATGGACCGTTATAGATAATAAATTAAAATCTAAGTCACTCTCGTCGGTAAAAGAATTAATTGAAGCTTTATCAAAGGCATGATTATCAATAACACCACAATTATGTCAAAAACTTGTATTTTCAATGCCACGTTGAATTCAGAAATGTATTGCAGTTAATGGTAAATGTATAGACTATTGAATTTTATTTATTCATAAGTTATTTTTATTAATTTTTCGATGCTTGTTATATATATCCCAGAATTTTTTTCCGCTGGGCAGTTTTTGTTCTCTTCTTTTTTTATATCAAAACCAGAAGTTTTGCGTCTACATGCTATAGTATGAAAGCTTATCGAATAAATACACTTACCATATATAACAAGTTTGATTCGAATGAAACATGAAATTTTGGAAAATCATTCTTGACTATCCCAGAACTTTTTTCGTAGACTGTAGAATAAATTAATCATTAATAAACGAAACATTGTTTAACTTCTAAAATTAATTTTAAAGGTCACTGATCATCTTCAGAATAACCCGATGCACGACGTGCTACTTGTTGTTGTGTTACTGTTAATTGTGTTGAAGAAAGTGGTTCTTGTGTTGATCTTTTTTAATCAAACTTTCTGTTGTGTATTTTAATGTTCAATATTTAATTTTTATCCATCATTTTTAATTTTTTAATTTTAATATAATAGCGACATATATTTATTTTAATGTTGGCATTGGTCAATACTATTGTCCATAGATTGTAATCGCGAATATTCTTCTTAAGAATTAATCTTTATATAATAATTCTAATGTATAATTGATTTCATTTTTATTGACGTTTCAATTTTCATTAAACCTTTTATTTGGTTTTTAATTCCATTATTTATTTTTTGTTATCTAATTCTGCTTAAATTACTTATTAAACAAAAATCCATTCATCATATAGAGAAACTGTTGCTAATGTATAAGCCTGATTACCACGACCACTTATAGCATTCTTACTATGTTTTGAATTCTCTTTGAACCATTTCAATATACGATTAGGTTCAAGATATAAACGAATCTGTTTTCTTTTATCTTTTTTATTATTATTTCTATTTATTTCATACAATTCAACTAAATTATCATTATCATCAGTTTCATTTTCATTTTCATCAATATTATTTATGTCACTTAATATTTCAAATCGATTATTATTATTATTCATATTATTTTGACGTTGATATTGTTGCTGACGATATCGACGTTGTCGACGTCTATATGATGATGTACTTGTACGTATTTATTGTTCTTGTTGAATTGGATTATTATTTTCTTCATTAACTATAAATGGTTGTGTAATATTATTATTATTATTATTATTTATAAATCTTGCACGTTGTGGTAATGCATCAGGTGGTGCTAAATTAAATTCTTGTGGAAGATTTACTGAATTTTGTGATGGATCACGTAATTCTTGAGGGTGTGGGTGGATATGGATGTGACTACGGGTCATTTATGGAAGTACACTCACACGCACACCCATACACCCACACCCACACCCACACCCGCACTTACACCCACACACCCACACCTTCTATTTTTCCAGGTTTTTTTTATTCCATATGATTGATATACTGAGTTTTTACTGCGTTTACTGCATTATTTATTGAATACATTATACTATCATCACAAAAAATTAAACGTAAGCTGAACGGCACCTTACATACTTCTCTATTATAGGTTTGTTCGCTTTCAGATAAATATTCTGTTTTTGTGCTGCGATACGTTATTGCACTGAGGCCTAATCAGAGCATTAGGCTTTTTTTCACTGACGTAAGTAACCGCAGATACAGATCGACAATTAGGACAAGTTGCGGACCATCCATATTGGTTTATATTACACATTGTAGTCGTAATTGTCGTTGGTGGTCCATAGCCATCGGTTTCATCCACATTTGTTCTTCTAATAAATGCATGAATTTTATTTCTTGCTTCTTCTGAGCCATTTGCATATTTTGTAGCAGCTGAAACAACTATATATGTTTGGTACTCAGTACTAACTGTAGAGTCTTACCCATTTGTTGATAACCGGTTCGCATTTTCCCATCTTTTTACTGTACATTTTCTTTTAAACGTTTACATGCTTTCTTCGCTAAATCGTATAAATTATCATAATTATGGTAAAATCGATCAATAAATAGTAATTCTTACGGATAATATCATATCCAGATTTTAGTAACCCATCAGAATCCAACCTAATTTCTGATAAAGTTTTGTGTGCTTTTGCATCTAGATGGTTTAAATTATCATGATCATGTTAAAATCGATCAATAAATAGTAACACTTATTTCTAATATCATATCCAAATTTTAGTAATCCATCAGAATCCATCTTAGTTTTTAATAAAGTTTTGTGTACTTTTGCATCTGGATGGTTTAAATTATCATGATCATGTTAAAATCGATCAATAAATAGTAATTCTTACTTCTAATTTGGCGTTTAGTTCTTACTAATCCATTGTCTACGATAGGTTCAGCTAGATATTCGTTCATTAGTTTGGCTAAATGATCACATAGAATGAAAAACATTTAATCTTCCGTTTCCCATATAAGCTTGACCCTCACCGTTCATGCATAGCTCCTCCTTAGTGAGGTCCGTGAATCGTCCGATATAATTATAACTCATATTACCTTCTTTTCCAATTAATAATGAACACAATGTCTCCATTTTTATTGCTTGTTGTTTGTCCTATAAGAGAGAGAGGGAGTCTAAAATTGTACCGTAAGAAGCTGTTTAACTTACGTGCATACTTTCACCAGACAAAATTGGCAATAATTTTATCCAATCGTTAAAAAGTTATGTATCAGATTCGTTCTCTAGTTCTTTTAAGTAACGTATTACCTGTCCCAGATGACCTTCAACAAACGAAAAATTTCAATATTATGGATAAAAAAATAGCCGTCATTGATTCACTCACTCACTAACACTGGTCACTTTTTTCATTCTGTCACTGATGCACGTTATCCATTGGAGAGGAAATTTGTGTATTCCTTTTCTTTCGTTCTGTTGTATCACATAATGAATGTATATATATATATAAATTCTCTCCGATGAATAACGTGTATCAGTGACAGAATGGAAGAGGTAACTAGTGCGACTGACTGATATTTTTGCCATCCCTATTATCATTAATATGCCACAAAACATACCTTTCTCACTATATTTGTAACCTTTGATCCGCTTTCGAAAGTTTGTAGTTGGGTGTGGGTGTCTTCTCTTCACTCTACACACACATACTACCATCTGATTTTGCAAAATTTTTGTTCTTTACTTCTTGTGAAAGTTTCACTTAAAAATTCTGAAAAATGAGGGTTACTCCTATGGAAAAAAATTCATTCTTCTCAAGAAATCGAAAATGAAAAACTCCACTCTTTCATGTTACAGGCATAATTTTCTCTTCAATGAAAAAATTTCTCGAGCTTTATAGCATCTAAAGCAGTTGAGAGATCTTAGACACATGAATAGGAGAAACCCGAAAAACTGATTTTAAGAAAAACACGAAATTAAGTTTGGCAGTAAAACTCTATTTTCTTTCTTAATAAAATGGTACGCAGAATAAATGGATAATAGTATGCTAGATGTTATCGACTATGGAGAATCGAGTTAATACTGGCACGTATTTGTGCAGTACATTCATTCATAGGCAAGTTCTTTGTTAAGCAAAACAATTATCTTCTTCTGGCAAAATGCTAACACTTAAACGAAACTTGACATGTGTTTGTTTTACATTGGAATTGTAGCATCAATGTGACATAAAATATCTCAGTATCAACTCTATTTAGAACAATCTACTACTACAAAAGAAGACAAAACATTAGACATACCAAGTAAAACATAAGTCAGAGAAAAAAGAATGTCGGTGGTTGTGTGAGGTATGGAAGTATGAGTGTCAGTTCTTTCTTCATCCACATCCACATCCAACCTTCTACATATAGATAAAAAACAAAATATGCCAACGATAACGGCTTTCAAAAGAAAACAAATAACTTTGTTCGTTCTTGTCGCGTGGAAATTCACGATAGAAAGGAGAGAAAATGATGTATCATTATGATAGAGGATAAATGATAATAAAAGAAAACATTTTTTAAACCATGAATCCTGCTACTGCTGATAGCAAAAGTGATTTCAAAATTGTGAAAGTCGCATAACGTGCGAGCGAAAGTACCTCAGTAGATCGTAGGATGTGTGTGTAGGTATCTACTAAGAGAAGATCCAAAGCAATATTTACACTCACACTCTAGCAAGGTTAAAAATTATGTATTCTTGATCATTTTACAAAGCTCTATCAAATGGTATATAAACAAGTCAAAAATAAACTAGTGTGGAAAGTTTGTATTTGCAGTCCATTACTTCACCAATGAGGTTAACAATTATATTGTTCGATACCTGCATAATATCAATGCTGGTCAATGCATGACTGCTCGTTCAATTTTTTTTTTCGAAATGAGATCTATTCAGTTGAATGTGTCTCTTATCGATTCAAGCAAGTTTTGAGTTGATTGATGACTAATTTTAGTTTCTTTACTTTTCATTTTAAACAATGAATATGCATAAAATTACTATTCATTAATTTTTGTTATTATTTCATAATAGATACCGAATAATTCAAACTAATGCTGATGGTAAATGTCGAATACGAATGTTAGAAATAACTGAATTACCTGTGCGAAAAACAACCATTCAAATATTCTTCAGTTGAAAATCATTATTATTTATTAAGATTTATCATATTTCTATTTAAAGTTTACAGCACTAAAAAAAATGATAATATTCATTCTCTAAACTTCAGTCACCTCAAATGTAAATTTTGGTGAACATTCGCCAATGATAAGAGTCCTATTGGAGAATTTTGTGTAACTCTATTTTGTAGATATTTTAGTAATATTATACTATAGTTTCTTTACAATTAAATTGAATCATCAAGATATTTTTGAATTTATATTTTAGACGGGAACTACATTCAAATATAGACTAGAGTCCATGAATATGAGTAAGTTTTTTATGATCCAACCCGACTTGCAGTAGAAGATATTTTTTGGTTAATCAAAGCGAAACTTTTCGTAGATTAAGTATCCTTTTTGGTCAATCTATACGAGCTCTCTCTATACTAAAAAGAATGAAATTATTATCTTATCTAGAATTGGTGTTTGTTTTATATGAAGTTCAACATCAGTCAATTTATTATAACCCAATGCAAATAAAATTCTGATGTAGATCATAACAAAACAAATAGAAAATACAAAGTTAATGACTTCTTTAATAATCATCATAGAAAATCTTTTGATATCATAAATAGATTTTATTCTTTTCAAATACTTAAATCAAAACATCATTTCTTTTTGACTTTCTTCAATAAAATGTAATTATTAAATATTGTCCTAATAACATGAGATAAAAATGCCATTGTATATAATAAAAAAAAAAGAAAACAAAAGAAAACAAGTAAAACAAAAGAGAAAAATTTCAATAAAAATAAAAAAATATATAATTTAAACAATTAAACGTCGTTCTTGTTCATTTCCAATATTCAATTTTTTTGAATTCATATCATCATTATTAATATGAATTGATGAATTTGTTAGAACATTTGTTGTAGTAGTTTTTGGTAAATTAACAACAGGATTTATTGAATATAAATAAACAGCAGTTGAAACAATAAATATCGCAGTAAATGTATATATACTAACAGGTATATTAAAAAATATCCAAGCAAGTATACTTGTAAAAAGTAATTCTAAAGCACTAGCAAATGTTTTTAATATTGATGTCATTGATTTAAGAAATAATGATGTTACAATTCCAACAGCAGCATTATTAATTATAATAAGTAATATCAAATATTGTTTTCCTGATAATATTAAATTTAATGTATTAAAAAATTTATCAATTGATGATAATGTTGGTTGTTGATAATCAAAATAAATTAATAATATTAAATTACATATAATTGAATTAATATACATAAAAGAATTTTGTAACATTGTATCAACTTGAGTTGTTCGATCACTTTTCAATAAATATTCATTATAAACACCAGCAAAACAAGAACAAAATACTTGAACAAGAATCCATATGAGATGTATATTAACTAATGAATGATGTTTTGTCGAAATAATGTGTTGATTTAATCGAGATAATGTTGAATTTATATTTGAAATTTTAATAGATGATGATGAAGATAATGATGAATGTTCAAATTGTTTTATAATACAACCTGATGCGAGAAGAAAAAGTGATAACCATTGAAGACGTGTTAAACGTTTATTAAAAAGAAACTAAATTAAAATTAAAACTAAAAGAAGAAATATAATAAAATTAAATAATTTTTACTTGAAATATAATTCCTGTTACAACAACACGAAATTGAAGAAGTAAAAAATATGTTGTTGGATCATAAGATGATAAATTTATAAATGCCAAATTATTATATAAACAATATAATGCCGATGGAAT